CAGGGGGGAAGGCTGCCAGTGGAGTTTGCAGAGCCGACTCGGTTCCCGTCAGCACCTACGCCCGCTCGTGCCCAAGAGCAGCCTGCCCCTGCTACAAGCGAGTCCAATCGTTTGACGCAGCTCTTCCACGAGATAGAAGAACAACTGCGCGCGTGGAATTCGATGGGCCCTGCTTCGCATTTGTTTGTGCGCCGGCGAGCAATGTTGGACGACGCAAGCCAGAGGGAAGTTGGAGGCCCCGAGATTCGGAAGCAGCCGGTGGGTGCCGATGAAGAACTTCGAAAACCCATGCCCGAACCGAAGTGCGTGGAAATTTTGTCCCAGGAGATCGAAGCGCGACTGAGTCAACGGAACCCGATCGGCCCTGCTTCGCACTCGTTTGTTCGCCGATGGACGAAGTTAAATGGACCTCGAAAGCCCATTGGCTCTCGCGGTGAGACGGGCGAGAAGGAGGTCTGGAAACGTGGAGGCCAGCCCAATTATTCGGACATGTTTTCCCTGGATATCGACTCGTTTGTTTTCTGGAGGGCGAAGGAGGTCTGGTAAGGTGGAGGCGCCGAGGTTAGGAGTCAACCGACTGGTGCCGATGACCAACTTCAGAAACCCAGTCTCCTCAATGTTGACCCTGAGGTCGCAGCGCTTCTGGGATTTTTCGGTTTCACAACGACCCGCGAAATAATCGCTAAGGGCGTCTTGCAAGCGCTGTGCGTGGAAAGGGGGTATGTCCATTGGTGTTTGTTGAAGTGTTAAAATCCTTGCTTCGCAAAGGGATTGTTCAGGTGCGGGGAAGGTGGGGGAGGAGTAGGAAACCGAGGCAGAGGGGCCGGCAACATTTCCAAACGGGGGCCCCCTCCGACCTCCTAGTGGTTAAAGACAGCTGTTGAAGGGTTTGTCATCGAAGAGCGGGCGCGGAAGCGCCGCGGGCGAACTTTTGGCGGCGTCCACGACACTGCGTGGAACAATTTTTGCCATTCTTTTCCCGCAGATGAATGGCGGCGCCAATTGCCAACGGCGACGCCGTCCGTACTTTATCAGAAGTGGAATGCGCCCTTCCGGAATGGGAAAGCGTTGGAGTTTGTGCCAGGTTGGGAGACAAGTGCGCAATTGCCGCCGCGCGAAAATTACAGCGCAGGCCAATTTGCACACCTAAGTTTGAGACAGATGCACGCGCGCGGCCCTTGATTTCTCTGGGCGGAGATGTCGTGCTAATCTTCAGCACGTGCCGCGTGTTTCCCCATAGTTTCTGAGTCGATGAGTGGGGCGTTGCAGAAAACGACAAGGCGAAGTGGCAGGCGGGCCTGCGCGAGGTGAAGTCAACGAGAGCAGGGGCCGTGCGTGTCTGGGCGCGTTTGGCGCGGGGGAAGCACCTGTTTTGGCGCGGGGTGCGCCGATCGCACTAGCGAGGTAGTCTCGGGCTGCATGGTGCCCTCATCTCTTCTTTTCCTCGGTCTTCTTCTCCGTGGGATGCAGAGAGGAATTTGGGTCGCGAATTACAGGGGGAGGGAACCCTCCTTCTTGTGCAGGCCCGCTCGCACGCGCCGCTGGCAACGCAGTGCCAGCGGCGCCGCGCCCCCTGGTTTCATCCGGAAGCTACTGATTAGTAGTGCAGGGATCCCCGCGAACGGGCCGCGCGCTCGCCTGTGTTGGAGGAGGGGGGGGGGGGGGGGGGCTTGGGGTGAGGGTGGCAGCGTGCGCGCCTCGGCGCAGGCCTTGGCGATTCCCTCGGTAAGATGTCGAAGGGCTGCCGAGTCCTTGCTGCAAAATTCTCACGCAGGGGAATTCCGCATGCGCTCTACATTGCACCTTGGCGGGCGCATTGACGGTGACCTCCTTCATGCGGAGGTCCTGTCCTGTCCTGCTCCTCTCTCTTCCTCTTCCTTCCACTTTCCTCACTGCTCCAGTTCCTGCTGCAGCTATTCGTCTTCGTCCTCCTCCTTGTTCGTCCTCCTCCTTTACGTCCTGTTCGCCCGCCACCTGCTCCTCCTCCTCTGCGCGCAGCTTCTTATTGAATCGCTTCGCTCATTCCGCCGGCCCGTGATATGGCATCGCTGGTTTTTGTCTGTGTGTTCGTTGCCCATGTTGCGCTCTTGGGGGCGGGTGTCGTTCGGACGCGTTGCGTGGGGAGTTTTGATGGTGAAGCAGTTCCCTGGGGGTCGTCTCTCGATGGGGCGAAATAGAGTCGTCGTCAAGATGCTTCTTTGGGGGGCCTCTTGGGGTCTGTTGAGAGGCCGTTCGGGGGCGCCTGGGAGACATGTTTGAAGCCTTCTGGGGCTTCTTTTGGGCCTCCTGGGAGTCTCCTGGGGCCTCTTGGCGACATCTTGGGGCCTCTTGGAGGCCTCTTGGGGCCTCTTTGGGACCTCCTGGGCGCCTTCTGGGACGGAGGGCTCCATTTTTGAGTTCTCGGTATCCCTCCTGAGTCCCTCTTGGGCCCGTCTTGGGGCCTCTTGGTCCGTCTTGGGCGGCACTTGGGCCGTCTTGAGGGCTCTCTTGGGTCGTTTCGGCGCCGTCTTGGGAGCTTCGTGGGCCGTCTTGGAGCGGTCTTGGGGGCCTCTTGGGCCGTCTTGGAGCGTCCGGAAGCCGAAAAAGCCAGAACACAAAAAACATCGAAAAAACCAATGAAAATCAACGATTTTGGCCTCTTGGGGCTCTCTTCGGAGGCCTCTTGGAAGGCTCTTGGGGCGTCTTGGAGGCCTCTTGGGCTGTCTTGGGGGCCTTTTGGGCCGTCTTGGGGTCATCTTCGGCGTCTTCGAGCGCTCTTTGGGCGTCTCGGGGGCCTCTTGGGCAGTCTTGGGGGCCTCTTGGGGCACTCTGAGCGCGCTCTGGGGAGCCTGAGAGGCCGCACCCAGAAGGAAAACCATCTCTGAGTAGACTTGGTCGGGCGGCGGTCGGGCGGCGGTCGGGCGGCGACCGGGCGTTGGTCGGGGTACTTTTCGCCGGGGGACCCCCAGGGGCCGCCCCGCGCGCGCGAACTAGAAATACTGTTAATACTGTTAACCAGTTACCGGAGATCTTAGCACGCCCTGGCCCGTTGGGCCGGCGAATTTTTGCTGGTGGCACATGACACGACGGGGTCTTTGGTGGAGTTCCTGGTCGGTTATGACACGCTTCCGCGGATAGAGGACACATCGGCGCATCGGGGTTTGCCGATCGGCGCGGGCCCTCGCACCCCCCCCATCCCACCTTTCTATGGAGCAGGTCTTGGCTGTTTTGGGCGCCTGTTTCCAGCAGGTGGGGTTTCCCCCAGAGGACGCGCAGTTCCAAACCGTCGCGCGTCAAGCAGAGGCCCGGAGCGGGACCCTCGCGCCCCCCCCGTTTCCGCCCAAGGTCGGAGCGCCGAATCAGAACACGTTCGCCGGGGAATGGTGTGGGAGGGCGGGGTGGGTTGTCAGGCGAGGCGCGAGCGCGCCCAGCTCGGCCTCTCACCCCCCCCCCGGCCCCCCCCCCCTGCGCGAGGCACGCCCCGCCGAGGACGCGAGCTCGGACGACGGCAGCGGCGCGGAGGCGCCCGCGGAGGACGCCGCGTCGTCGTCGTCGTCGTCGGTGTCGTCGTCGTCGTCGTCGTCGTCGTCGTCGTCGTCGTCGTCGTCGTTGTCTTCAACGTTCAACGTCGTCGTCGTCGTCGTCGTCGTCAGCGTCGTCGTCGTCCTCCTCCCCTTCGCCCTTCTTCCTGCCCTTTTCCTCCTTGCCTTTCCTCCTCCTCCTCCTCCTCCTCCTCATCCTCCTCCAGTTCCTTCTCCTCCTCCTGCTCCTCCTCCTCTTCCTCCTCTCCGTCCTCCTCCTCCTCCTCTTCGTTCCTCCTCCTCCTCCTCCTCCTCCTCTTCCTCCCCGTCCCCGTCCTCATCCACTTTCTCGTCCTCCCCCTCCTCTTCCTCCTCCTTCTCCACCTTCCCCTCCTCCTCCTCTCCTTCTCCTCCTCCTCCTCCTCCTCCTCCTCCTTTTCCCCCTTCCTCCTCCTCCCTCCTCCCTCCTCCTCCTCCTCTCCTCCTCCTCCTCTCCACTCCTCTCCTTTCCTCCTCCTCCTCCTCCTCCTCCTTCCTCCTCCTCCTCCTTCCTCCTCCTTCCTTCTTTCTCTTCCTTCTCCACCTCCTCCTCCTCCTTCTCCTCCCCCTCCTTCCTCCTCCTTCTCCTCGTCCTCCTCCTCCTCCTCCTCCTTCCTCCTGCCTTGTCCTCCTCCCCCTTCCTCCTGCCCTGTCCTTCTTCTCGACTTCGGCGCCCCCCTTCTCGTGGTGCACGGTCACCTGCGGCACAGCCCGCCACCGCGCGCAGCAGCGTGGCAGGGACGAAGGGGAGCACAAGGTTGAGTTGAAGACCATGCACACTTCGCCGGCGGCCAGGTGGCGGCCCTCGTTGCGCCCCTCGTTGGCGCCCCTCGTTGCGCCCTCCGTTGCGCCCCTCGTCGCGCGCACTTCGTTGCGCGTCCTGCAGGAGGCTTTGGGATGTCCATCGGAATCCTGTAGAATTTTTCAGGATGCGCATCGAAGTTCTGTGGGGTCCTCCAGAGTCCTCCAGAGTCCCATCTCGGCGGCGAGCGAGGGGGGAAACTGAGAAGGAGGGCCTTCTCAGATGGCGGCGGGACTTCTCAGAAGCCCTCGCGCCTTCCGAGAAGTTTTCTGTGCCTTCGGGGAGTGCCTCGAAGGCTTCTCAGAAGGCCGGTGGACTTCCGAGCCTTCTGAGAGGGCACGCCCCTTTTGACTTCCCCCCCTCGCTCGCCGCCAAGTTGAAGACCATGCACATTTGATTCCTTCAGCACGCCGATGTGGTGCAATGGGCGTCATCGAATTACACTGGCGGGGCACGCTTCAAGTAAGTTTGCCACCTTGTGTAGAAGCTTTAGCGAAGCTGTGAGCCCCGGTGAGTGGCAGACGCAGCCGGCCGCTGGGCAGCAAAGTTCACGCAACAAGCGCGAACACACCCATATGAGAGAGCAGTCCATGTTCAGTATTTGGAGATGGGGAGAGTTAGAGGGGGGAGTGGAGAAAGGTGGGGTGGTTCAGTCCCGGTGCACTTCGGGGCCACTCCGCAGCCCACTCCGCAGCCATTTGCTGGCTTAAATCGTCTTGTCTCAAGCTTGTTTCAGGGGAGCCGTCGTCATTGAATTTTGTTTGCCGCCAGCAATGGCCAGTCGTGGTGATCGAAGCCGCAGCCCTAAACGCAGCAGTGGCAACCCCATAGCAACGTTTGAGACGACAATGGGGAATATCGAAGCGGAAATCTATCTCGATCGTGTGCCCATCACAGCTTCGAGCTTCATTGACCTTTGCCAGTCCGGCTTCTACGAGGGCGTCCATTTCCACCGTGTCATCCCAGGTTTCATGAACCAGTTCGGGTGCCCCAACGCCAAGGACCCGAAGTCTCGTCGCGCGGGCACTGGAGGTCCACCCGACGGCAAGTTCAAGAATCTTAAGACAGGTGGCATGGAGAAGCGTTCGAATGGTGGTAATGCAAGTGCGCCGACGCGCGTATCCGCGGCCGCTGCACAGCCGTGATCTGGCGCAGCTGCGGCGTTGCACTGCCGTGTGGCGCTGCCCTGCGGAGCCTCTTCGGACCTCCCGGGCCAGCCTCCCCGGGGGCTGTTTGGTCTGCTCTCTTTTGGGGGTCTTTCTGGGCCCCAGTGTATGGTTTTCGTAATTCTTCCGCTGGTGCTTGTCGGGATTTGATCTCCGTCGACTCTTCGTCGATCTTTGCGTGCTCGTTTTCAGTCGGTATGTGTGGACATTCTGTTTCTTTCATTTTCTGTCATCTTTCTCAGACGTTCGTCGACGTTTGACTCCCATTGAACGATTTTACATTGATTTCAGCTGATCCTAGATTTTCCGTGTTTTGCCAGTATAATCTAGCATGTTGTTTTTGATTTGCGCTATTGTTTGAATGGTTTTCGTCGATAGAAGCGTTTCGCATATTCGTAGTCGATGTTCGTCGATATCTGATTAGCTGTGATTATTTGTCGATTCTCGTCGACGTTTTTTTGGGGTGGTGGTGTTTCTTTTAGGTTACCATCGACGTTCGGTTTCCGTTGACGTTCGATTTTCTTCTATGTTCTATATAGGTTCATCGGCTTTCGATGCTTGTCGATTTCTTTTTCATTTTCGCAGACGTTTATTCAATCGCTTCGCTCATTCCGCCGGCCCATATTGCATGATCGCTACTGCTTCGCCGTGGGCCCGGGGCCATTGTGGCGCCGCCGAGGACCCTGACCCCGCCGATCTGCGTGAGGGGTGTCACCGAATTTCAGGAATGTGGCACGTCCCTTGTGTTTTTGGACCCTGACCCCGCCGATCTGCGTGAGGGGTGTCACCGAATTTCAGGAATGTGGCACGTCCCTTGTTTTTGGACCCCGACCTCGCCGATCTGGGTGAGGGGTGTCACCGAATTTCAGGAATGTGGCACGTCCCTTGTGTTTTTGGACCCTGACCCTGCGGATCTGCGTGAGGGGTGTTAATTTTTACCACCCTAGAATTTCTGAGAACCCTCCCAGGGCGTGGTAATTCTGCTGGTTTGGGTTCCCCCCCCCTCGCGCGTTCATCAACAAGGAACAGTAAGCCGTAAGAAGCAGAGCCGTAACAGTGGAAACTGGAAGCTGCAACTGGTACAGCGAGCAGCACATTCCTGGCCTACAGCCTGGTGGCCCCGCAAGGGACCGGCGGATGTTAGAGTTTCGTTGATTGTTAACCGATCTCAGTCGACATTGTATTGTCCTTGATTGTTCGTTAATTTTACTCTACGTTCGGTTTTCGTATGTGCTAACTAGTCTGTCGTAGCCGTTATATTCCAGAATCTTTTGCACCGATTAGTGTTTGTGGAATTTTCCCAGAGTTTTGTCGACGTTCGATGTTCGTCGGCATTCGATGCTCGTTGCTTTTTCGTAGATGTTCGTCAACTGTTTCCTTTACTCGCTGATTTGCAGATTTTCGTAGACTTTCCAGAGGGGCCTGGCCGGACGGGGCCAGGACGAGGATAACTCCGTCACAGGGCGTTTTCCAGAACGCTCTCAGAGACTTCCAGGAACGCTGCGCCTTCTGGAAGGGTCGGGGGTGGCCGGGAGGGGAGTGATGACTAGGGGGGGTGGATATCATGGCGGGGGCCATGATATCTATCCAGATTTCATGGCGCCTCTGCTTATTTTCATGCGTTCCCTGGCCCCCCCCGGTCCGCGCACGTGCCTCGGGCCATGATCTGCACCCCCCCCTCTTGGATGCCCCCCTCTTGGACGCCCCCGAGAGGGCCCGGCGGCTTCCGAGGAGGCTTCTCCGGAGCCAGGAGGGCTTCTGAGAAGGCCCCCCTCCTTCTCAGAAGCTCCCCCCGCCTTCTAAGGAGGCCGCTTCCCCCCCCTCGCGCTGCTCCCTGGGTGCGCGCCGCCACCATGCGGGGAAGGCCTGGAGGCGGCCACAGGATTTCTTGGATCCTGGATCCGCGCTGGGGCCCCCTGGCGGCGTCTCCAGCGCCGCCCCCGGAGCGCTCCGCGCGCCAGGGAGGGGCTCTACATAGCCCAGATCCGACTGGCTTCACCTTTTCCGTCCTCCTTTCGGGGGCGGACGGAACCCCATCTGTTTTCCACGCCTTCCCACTCCACGTTCCTACTTACTTCTGCCGACCGATGGGTATGCCGTCCCTGCCCTTCCCTCCTCGCAGCGCGGTCCCCGGTCCGGTGGAGAGCGCACCCCCTCGGGGGCGGAAAAGAGGGGGGTGATGACTAGGGGGGGGTGGATATCATAGCGGGGGCCATGATGTTTCCCCAGATTTTCTGGCGCCGCTTCTTGTTTCATCACGTCCCTGGCCCCCCCCCGCTGGGCCGCGCACATGCCGCCGGTCATGATTTGCGCCCCCCCCTCGTGGACACCCCCCTCTTGGCCGCCCCCGAAGATGCGCACTGCCCCACCCAAGTAGGACAGCTGCGAGGAAGGGAGGAGGCAGGAGGATGGGGGTAGGAGGAGGAGGAGGAGGAGGAGGAGGAGGAGGAGGAGGAGGAGGAGGAGGAGGAGGAGGAGGAGGAGGAGGAGGAGGAGGAGGAGGAGGAGGAGAGGAGGAGGAGGGAGGAGGAGGATTTGCGCCCCCCCCTCGTGGACACCCCCCTCTTGGCCGCTCCCGACCCCCGCAGAGGGCCGCCGTCCCCCCGCTCGGCAGCGCGGTCGCCTCGGCGGGTCTGCGGGTGCCTCCTGGGCGGCCCCGCTCCCCCCCAGGGAGCCAAATGGCGGCCCCGCCCCGTGCCCTCGGCCGCGGCCCTGCGCTCGCGGTCGTTGCGCCTCCGCCGCGGTGGCTTTCCTCGAGCCCTCGCCCGTGCGTCGGGTCGATTAAGGAATTGGCCGTTTTCGGTGCGCGAGAGGGCGTCGCGGCCGTCATTTTCGACGAACGAACAGCACACACCCATACCCATAGGGGGGTCGTTGGGAGGAGGACTGGCTATGGGTATGCGTGCGGGTTGTCGGACCCTGGGGAACGCTCCCGCTCGAACGGGGACCCCCATCCGACAACACGCACCCATAGCCCTCTCCGACCCCCCTATGGGTATGGGTGTGTGTTGTTGGTTCGTCAATTTTTGCGGGTCCAGGTTCGTCGGTTTCGGTCCCAGGCCGCTTTCACGAAGGGGAGGTTTACTAAAGGGAGGTTTGTCCACCGCCGAGTGCGCCTGTTTCGGGCCCTTGTTCGGCCCCACTGCAGCGCCGGAGTTGGCGCTCGATTCTACAGTCATCGGGTTGACCCAAAAGGGGGTCCAGCGATGAGGGGGTGGTGCAATAGATTTGGTGGCAGTAGATTTGTGGGGTTGCAACACACCTGGGGCGTGCAAAACATTTCGGAGCGCAAATGTATTGATGTATTTTGGCGTGCAATCAATTGCTTGCAATGCAATGCAATACAATTCTGCCGCGCAGTGCATTTGCAATGCAATTGCCCCAAATCTATTGCACCACCCCTTTTCAGCTGGATCACCTTTTGGCTTACCCAAAACAGTGGGGACCCATGCCAAGAAACACTCTACTTGCCTTCAGGGTGCCCTGGGTTTCTTGGGTTTCGATGGCTTTGCTGTGGAAAGGGTGACATCCCCGTGCCAAAAATCAAGGGACGTCCTGGGGTCTCAGGGTTGGGTTTCTTGTGGAAGGTTTCTTGTGGACGGGCCTCCACTGTACAGTCAACCGGCACAGTAAGGATGGGCAATCTTCCCACGGATACCCTTGCATTCTTGCCTCTTCGGCCCATCCTTAGCGACTTTCGTTGGCCAACCTCGTTTGACAAGAACGTTCACACATGGGCAGCAAAGGCCCGTGCATCCGTACTGCGCATCCTTATGATACGGGTTGACTGTAACCCACGACCAAAACAAAACCCGGCGCAAGGCGGGCAAATCATGGGCTTGGGGCATCGTGTCGAAGCACGTGGGTCCAATCCGACGCGATGGTGGCGGGCGGGGGTGGCAAATGATTTTTTTGAGGGGGTAACTCGCATAATGAACAATCTTGCACCCCTACACGCACAAGCTGCGGCAGTCGCGGTGGCGGATATTAAGGATGAGAACATATCACGTGACACGAATGCGCCAGGCACTCTGTCGATGGCCAATACTGGTAGCCCCAATTCAGGAGGCTCGCAGTTCTTCATGAATGTCGCGGACAACAGGAACCTTGATTGGTTTTCCCCAGGCCAGTCGAAACACCCAGTCTTTGGCAAGATTACTAAAGGCATGGATGTTGCTGTTGCGATCTCAAAGGTTAAGACGCGGGACGACAACCCAGTGCAGCCTATTTGCATGAAGAGAATTACAGTTACAGGGCTGTGATTGCCAACGGGCCTACAGCTTCGATTGAGAGCCCCTCTCTATCTGGCTGCCTCGGGCCCCCCCCGCCGCCGTCCTGGAAGCGCCGCGTCGAGGTGTGTGTGTGGAGTTGGCCTGTGATGGCTCCATCAGGGTCCTGCCGTGTGGCCTCGTCGTGCCCTGCGAGCAACAGCAGATACATCTCCACACACCTTCGGAGCTGGCCTGTGATGGCTCCATCAGGGTTCTACCGTGTGGCCTCGTCGTGCCCTGCGAGCAACAGCACATACAGCAACAGCAGATACACCTCCACACACCTTCGGAGCTCCCTGCGGCCTTCTCGGCTCGGCGCTGCGCCCCTCTGGCGGCGGTCCTCCGCCGCCGGGGAGGATCGGGTCGGGCGAGAGGGGGGGATTGGGAAAGGGGGGGTTACGAAATTTGCTGCATGCAGCTGGTTTCGGCCTCACCGAGGGGCCCATTCCTCGATACATAGCCGCCTCCGTCGCCGGGAGGCGCCGGGAAAATCGGCTGCGTGAGCTGATTCTCAACCCCCCTTGGCTATCCCCCCCTTTCTCGCCCGACCCGAGGGGAGGGCCCAGCGCGGCTCCGAGACGCCCGCGCGGGCCGGCGGCGAGCGGCGGCTCCTGCAGCTCTCTCTGTGCTCCTCGGGGCTCCTCCGCTGCTCGGCCCGGGGTGCTGCCGGGCCCCCCCGGTGGCCTCGGGGGGCCGGGAGCGCCCGGGCGCCGCTTTTGTTTTCTGGGCCCCGGGGTCCTGCCGGGCCGCCCCGATCGGGAGCCCGCGTCGGGAGGTTTACGTCGGGCGTGTCTCAGGAGGGGAAAAAACACACAGACACAATTAATCGGCGATTCCCAGAAAATATGGGAAAATATGGGAAGTGGGGGGAAGACAGGAACCCAGAAAATATGGGAAAATATGGGGGATATTTTTATTTGTGTGTATTTATTTGTGTGTTCCAGTTCCCCTTCAGTGTCCCCCTACCAGGGGGATTCCCGACGAAAGCATGAGGATACCGTAAAAAAATGCGCCAAAAAGGGCAAAGGCAAGATTCAAGCAGTATCCCCCAGACTATGTTTGGAGCACGTTTGGATGAGTTCTTTGGTCTTTTTTTTCTTCCGTCGAAATCCAAAAATCCACCTGTAGGGGAACAGGCCCGACATAACAGGAGATTCATCTTGGGACTGCCCGGGGAAGGGCCTGTCAGGCAGCCCGCGCGCAAATTCACAACGCGCCCCAGCGCGCCCGAGGCACGGGCGGGCGCTGTGGGGCTCTCTGCAGGGCACATTATCTGCAGCGGCCGGCGTGTGTTCCTGCCGGCTCCTTGGCGCCAGTTTTGTCCGACAATATTCTGATTGCAGAGCCCTGCTGGTCGTGCCACTGTCGGCCCGGGCGAGAGGGGGGGATTGGGAAAGGGGGGGTCACGAAATTTGCTGCGTGCAGCTGGTTTCGGCCTCACCAAGGGGCCCATTCCTCGATACATCGCCGCCTCCGGCGCCAGGAGGCGCTGGGAAACTCAGCTGCGTGAGCTGATTCTCACCCCCCCCCCTTTGCTATCCCCCCCTTTCGCCCGACCCGACACTGCGAGTGCTCGAGGCCGTGCACGGAGATGTTTTGCGCCTGTGAGGACAAAAGGTGTAGTGGAAGCCCGTGCCAGGACACGCCCTGCTTGCCTCCAGGGTGCGGTGGTTGTCCTGGGCTTGAAGGGTTCTGCGATGGAGAGCGTGACGTCCCCACATCAAAAACCGATGGGCGTCCTGGGGTCTCAGGCTTGGGTTTCTTGTGGAAGATCTCTTGCCGTCGAGTTCCTGCAGTGCCGTTTTTAATACATGCTCCGCGGCCGGATCATGTATAAAACATGCAGGGATTTAGCATTAAGAACAACGAGGAGTTCAGGCATAACTTTATTCATACATTAATCATGGTGTTACAAATCCTATATTACTAAACATCCCATGTATTAGAAACGGCCCTGCACCTCATGTTCAGAAGCCGCGCTCCCACTTGGCCTGCTCCCTCGCAGTTTGCTCCAGGGTCGCTCTCGCCAGGGGCGCATTTTGGCGGCGCGCAGAGGGGGGTAGGGGGAGGGGGGAAGGCTTCTCAGAAGGAGGCTGCTTCTTCGAAGGCGCCGGCCTTACGTTTGTAGACAAGGCCCGCGCCTTCTAAGAAGCAGGGGTGCTTCTAAGAAGCCTTCCCCCCTCCCCATACCCTCCTGTGCGCACCGCCAAGCATTTACGCATTTTACTCAGGCATCGCGCTCTCGCTGCCAAGGATCCGTGCTTCTCTTGGAGACCTCCTCGCGCTTTACAGTAGGGTGGGGCTTCTTCTGGAAGTGGAAGAAGAACACGCGCCATAGACATACACTTTTGGCGCTCCGAGCGGATTTTTTTGGATCTGCGCTGGAACCCCCTCCCTGGCGCGCGGAGTGCGCCAGGGGCGGCGCCGGAGGCGCCGCCGGGGGCGGGGCCAGCGCGGAGATCCAAGAAATCCGCGCGGAGCGCCAAAAGTTTATGTTTACGCCGTTTGTTCTTCTTCTAGGAAGGTCTCTTGTGTCGGAGGCGACGAGGGGGGCGAATAGCCCCAGGGGGGAGCAGTACACGCATCCGGGGGCGCCGATGGTCCACGCCTTCGGCGAGGGCCCCGGGCGAAGGCGTGTCACGCCCGCCCGCCCCTGGGCAGTTCGCCCCCCTCGTCGCCACAGACTGTGGTCGAGCTCCTGCTGCAGCACATGGATTGAGCAGGGACCGACCGTCCCGGCATTCCTGTAGTCATGCCACGAAGTGTTCTTAGAACCCAGAAATGTTCTAAGAACAAGAACAGTGTTTTTAGAACATAAGCCCGATGTGCTGAAACAAAACAGTCCCATCCAGAAATGTCCCAAGAACATTTCGTGGGAACCACAAAAGGTTCTTAGAGCTTGAAGCTCGCTGAGGGGCAGCGAGCGCGATCTGTGTTTCTGGGGCGACGGGGGAGAGGGCAATGCTTTTGTAGGGCAAGAGCAAGCATGAGCAGCCCAATCGTCGGCAAGAGTAAACCTGAAATCAGAGCTTCTCGCGAAGGGCGGCTGTAAGGATTGCTGTTGACCGATCAAGCGCGCCCGCCGAGCGTACGGGGATCTGTCCCTGGAAACAACGCTGCCCCCCCAGCGACCTTCAACTTAGAACATTGTGTAGTGGGGCGATAGGCGAGCCGGGACGCTTCGCCAGGGGGAAGGACTCTTAGGAGCACGCCCCTTCTTAGGAGGCCCGGGGGCCTCTTCGAAGAAGCTTGTGGCTGCTTCTTAGGAGCTGTTCCTCTCGTGCTTCTACGAAGCAGGTGGCTTGCTTCTAAGAAGCTGTGTCTGCTTCTAAGAAACAGTTCCGTGTTTCTAAGAAGCTGCTGGGACGCTTCTAAGAAACGGCGCGCCCCTGGCTTCTTAGAAGGGCGGCCACCGCCTTCTCAGAGGCAGCCGCCTGTAAGAAGCCTTCCCCCCTCTCCCTGCCCGCTAGTGCGCGCCGACAAGACGGGTGTCGATGCAAACGGGGGTCAGTCAGAGTGCCAGCAGGGCTGCATGGACCAGGGCTTGGGTGCAGGATCCTGCAGGATTTTGCAGGATTCTGCAAGGCCTGACTGACCCGGGCCTGGACTGACCAGGGTCAGTGGATCCCCGATGCCATCCCCCTCAAACTCTGACTTTGCCCCGGTCCGAATGCCGGCTTCATCCGGCTTGATCTCGCTTAATCTGTTTTGATCCCGCTTAGGCCGGGTTAATCCCGCTTAGTCCGCGGCCTGATCCAGCGTAGCAGCACCCCAATGGGGTTCAATTTTCTTGCACTTTTCCGACAAAGGCCTCCCAATAGTTGTTTCCTAACCCCCGTTCCCCCACTCTCCCTTGATATCGTCTCTCATCTTTTCTCTTGTTCCTTTTTGTTGTTTCTCTCTCTCTCTCTCTCTCCTTCTCGTCTCCCCTCCTGCCCCCCTCCGCCCCCGCCGTCTTCGCCTCCGCCTTGAATTGTGGGAAACCGACCCCAGCCCCCACAACTATGGGTTTTACGCGTCAGCGTTTTGCATGTAAGGCGAATGAGCGTAAGTGTAGGCGCCCTGTCGGCGAGACCATTGCCAGCTGCCGCAGGGGGGCCCCGCGCGCGCGGCGACGTCTTGGGCCCGCTCGACGCGGCCGCGCCCGCGCTGGCGTTCCCAGGGCGGCGCGTGCCACGGCCGCGGCTCGCAGTTTGAGGCGACGGCGGCGCCGTCCCTCGCGCGGCAGCGCCGCTGGCACAGCCGAGGGCCCCCGCGCCCGCCTCCGTCGCCCTCTCCCGACCCCGCCGGCGGAAAAAATTAGATCGGGAGCGTTTCTCTTAAGGCAACTGGGCCAATCTAAAGGTTTTTTTTGGCGTTTGTATAAACACGTTTTTCTGTTGATATAAACTTGCCCGGGTTTTCCCGCGCGAAATTTTCTGCTTCGGAAAAGCTTGGATCGATTATATATGGAGTTTATGTAAAATTTATTCGCCTTGTGCTCATTACACCTTCGTTTTTGGTGTGGATCTAAACTGTTCGATGCGCGCACGTGCGGGGCGGGACCCGGGCTCCGCGTGGGGCTCGTGCCAGCGCCGCCCAGGGCCGACGCGCCCGTTGGTTTTGCCGTGGCACGAGCGCGCGAATGTCGTCAACGGTTTTGGGCATTGACCGTGTGCCAGCGCAAGGAAACGCCAAGTTCGAATGCCAATGAGCATGGCAGCAGCGCGCCGTTCGCATTGAATGTCGTGGCGTTGTCGTTGGCTGACCGTCGAGCAGTTTCCGCTCCCAGTTCGCGCGTCGTGTGACGGTCCCACTGGTCTAAAGCTCTTCGTGTGGGGGGCGGGAGCGTTTTTCATGTGTTCACGCCCCTGCTTCCCTGTCCCCACTTGCTATGTTTGCAGATGCGCGTTCTTGCCAATGCGCCGCGTTGCCCTTATTCCCAGAGTGTGTACCGACAAGTGTGCACCGCTGCGGTCATACATGAAACAATGAACGCCGGCCGAACCGACAGACTTGGGAACCTATGATTGAGTGTAAGCGCCACTCAGGCTTGGCATTGTTCGGACTTGTGCATGTTTCCCCCCCCCCCCCCCCTCGGCGGGGACCATCGAAGAGCATCTCGGATCACCGCGCGAAAGCATGAAAACACGAAACCGAAGAATGCACAGGGAATGGACATCCGAGCGATGGCAAATCAGTCACCCCCTACAGCCCCAAAGGTCGGTTTGGCCGCCCGCTCTTCAAGGGTGCGCCCGTCGGTCGCTGGTCGTTTTGCGCGCCATTCAAAACTTGCAGCCGAGGGCGGCCGCTGGGCCTCTGGCAGCCTGTGGCTAGAGGGCGCGGCCTGGTCTACGCGGTCCGGGCTGTTGGCTGCTCCATGACCGCTGAGATGCTATGGCGTCTGTCTGTCGGCGGCGAGCGAAGGCTGGAAGTGGAAAGGAGGAGGCCTTTTCAGACGGCGGCGGGGCTTTTTAGAAACCCTCCAAATTTCTGGTCGGTTTTCGGTGTCTTCGGGGAAATCTTAGAACATTTCTCACAAGGCGCTTGGGCTTCCGAGCCTTCTGAAAAAAAGGTCCGTCCCCTCTCACTCCCCCCCCGAGGCTAGCCGCCAAGTCCGCGCTGGGCGAGGTACCTCACGCATTTTCGGGCTACCGCAGGCGTTCGCTGGGCATTTCAATGTATTCGATCAGCCTTCGCTGGGTTCCAGTGAACTCCGCTAGTCCAAACCGTTCTCTGGGTACGTCAGCGAGTCTTGCAGCCAGGCCTCGCTGAGCATCCCAGCGACCCCGAAACGCTCGCCATGTATATCATCGTGACCTGCAGGACGCCTTGCTGGGCACCTCAGGGACCCTGGCCCCCCCTGGGTCCCCCGCGGGACCCCCCAGGACCTCCCCACTGCGGGGGAGGGATCAAAAAGGAAGGGGTTTCCTTTCGACTCGGCTGCGACCTGGGTCGATTCGCACGAGAGCCTCTTGTCACGAGGGCAGAAGAGCTGCGAGTGAGAAAACGGCTCTCAAACGCCGAGAGCGTCGACGGACTTGGTCAGTCGAATGTCTCACTGGGTCGGGGATTTGGGCCGCCATACCTCTTGTTAGAGTTTTCAGCGAGCGGTCTGAGGCCGCTCTCGGCTTGTCCATCGCGGATGCTATGCCAAGTCTGGCATGTTGTACAACAGCTGTCCACGTCCTTCCTGGGTGGGCTGGATGTCGTCGTCGGTCGCCGTGGCCGTCGTCTTGCTGCGCGCTTGGTGTGCAGTTCCGCTGAATCCCAGTGAGTCCCTCCTCCTTCTCCTTTTCCTCCTCCTTCTCCCTCCTCCCCGCTGCTGCTCCTGCCACTGTTCCAGCTTCCTCCCTTCTTCTAATTCTGTTTGTGCATTATTTTGATACGTGTTGCTTCCCTTCTCTTCTTCTTCTTCTTCTTCTTCTTATTCATCTGATTATCCTCTTTCTCCGTCTCTTCCTCCTCTTTCTCCCCAATCTCCTCCTCCTCCTCCTCCTCCTCCTCCTCCTCCTCCTCCTCCTCCTACTCCTCTCATCGAGTCGCGCAGGACGACGACCCGGAGGGGCTCGACAGGGACATTGGCACCCTAAGTCCGGTGTGAAGCAGGAAAGAGTAGGATGACGATGCTGA